GCTCGAATATTGAGGTACTTTTTGAGCTATATGAACTTTGATTTCAACAAACTTATAGTAGAATTCAAGATCTCAAGGAGACGATTCCAACGACACCAAATTTGATCCAATTCGAGCCTAAATGGTTCCAAATCGAGGGTCCAAAACACATTTAGAATGTTCAAAGCATAAATTAGATGACAAATGATATTCAAATATGACATGCTTATATTCGAATCGAGTGGCTCGACGAGGCGAATCCAACGAGCCCAAAATCGTCGAATTCTAACATTATTAAAACACTTAAATGCTTGATAAAAGACTATGATTGAGAAAATTGATATCCTCCATCCATTAAAACACTCCAACATGCCCTTGATATTATCCCTATATACTAGCCATGTCACTCCTAAAAAATTATAAATGGACTCCTCATTCTTTATTGAAGGGGAATCAAACAAGAGAGAAGATAAGAGAGGAAGAAAAATTTGGGAGCTCTCTTACCACTAAACTCCTGGACAACCGCCAGGTCATCGACCGTCGACAAACTTTCGCCCGACCACTGATTGTCTTCAGACTTCTGCTCAGCTACCGTCCATCGCCATACTTATGGCCGACAACCGTCAGACTTCTGCTCTACCACTGTTGGACTTCTGCCCGATCGTCATTATTCACACAAAGTTCAACCCACTTTATGGACTATTGTAATATGACCGGCCTCAAATTTATGGACGAGCTTTGTAATCTATTTAAACAATAATGGAATCATTTCAACTAGGTGTGGCCACGTAATTTTTTTCTATTTTCAGAGTTTTTTAGAAAAAAATCTGATATTTTTAAGTTATCTGATAGTGTGTTAAATATCCGCAAAACACTAAAACTTTTTTTTTTCTTATTTTACCATCACAAATATTCTAATCCGCAATAAATACTAAATATTGTATGTCCATTATTTTTTAGGTCCCCATAATGAGGGCTGCAAACAAACCGAGCCGAGCCGAGTATGCGAGTGTTCATGTTTGTGTTCATTTAATATTATCTTGTTCAAGTTTGGTTCATGTTTGTCGAGCTTTATTATTTGTGTTCATGTTTGGTTCATTTAAATTAATGAGTGTTCATGTTTGGTTCATGTTCAGTTCATGTTCGTTCATTTAGTACTTATCGAGCTTGTTCGCGAACATATTTAACGATTTTTTTTTTAACTATCAAACAGACACATTCATGAACATATCTATGAACAAACACATTTATAATAAAAGCAATAGCGACAAAAAAAAAAAAAAAACCGTGACCGCGCCGCCAGCAAGGCGACAGGAACGGCTACACAACTAACGAGATAGAGCGCAGATATGCCACAAGCTTCCCAGTTCCTATTTCCCCTTGCCCTCTTCTCATCTTTCTCTCGCCCATCCTCCCTGCTCAGTCAACGCCGCCTTCTTTTTCAAGTCCTCAACTATTCAAGAATGGGTCGGGAGGCTCTTCTCCTTCCTCCCGACCCCTGTTCTGTGTAAGATCAAGTAGGAGAATAAGCGTCTCTGAACGCCTTGACTTCTCTTTGATGCCGGTGATGGGGGAAAAAGGAGTCAACTCGACTGAACTCTGGATTTTCCGCAGATTCGGTATCGCAGGACCCTGGCGTTCGCGATGGAGAAGGTGGAGTCGCCCGCTTGGTTATCTCGCCTGCTCCTCAGGTCTCGTCTGCTTCCTTATCGGGTCTTTCCTGGTTTGCAGCATCGTTGCGATCGTTTTCTTCCGGCTTTGGGTATCTTCCTTTTTGATGGTGGATAGGGTTTCTTCTGGCTGCCTTCCGGACGGGGAGGGATCGTGGTCGATTGGGATTTTCTACGGGAAGAGCCCCTTCTCGCTGGCTCCCATCGAATTGGTATTTGAAGTTGTTTCAATTGGGTATCATTGCTTCTTTTTTGAGGCCAGCTTAGTTTATGTTGTCTTTTGATGCAGTCAAACAAGAGTAACGAGAAAAGCTCGGCCTGGCCAGTTGCGAATCCTGTGCTCACGTGTGCTTCTGTCTCCAATGCTGGTTATCCCAGCAATTTCGTTGCGGATCCTTTTCTTTTCATTCAGGTTGAAGTTCTTCTTGTAGGTTTTGTTTTTGTTGGATAGGAATTAAATTTGAAATTTTGCAGGTTTGAGTTATCTAAATTTTGTTAGCTGCAGTTTATCCATTTTAGAATTGAAGAAAGAACAAAATAAGGCTTTCTACTGGAATGGAAGTTTCTAATTCATTTAATATCATGTCGATTGAACCCTCTCCCCTGTAAAAGAAGTTTAGATTTTGATAACTAAATCTGAATTCGTTTGTCCACACTAGTTTTACGATGGGCTGTCTTTCGCTTGAGTAAACAATGTAAGGTTAGAGAAAAGAGAAAAAAAATTGAAATTGTAGTAAAATTGTTCATTTTCAATTGTGGTTGGAGAGGGAATAACTTGAAAATTTTGAGAAAACGAGTTCTGTTTGTTTGAAAAACTAAAGTTTATTTTATAGATGAATTTATTTAATGTCACGTGATCTCTCTCTCAGTTAGTGACACTCCAAAAGCATGCTTACTTGCTTCCCTTCTTCAAACTTACCTTCTGCAATTGCTTTATTTTCTCTTTCTGCATCCTTTTCCGATTTAATTTTCATGGAAATTAATATTGAATTATTTAATAAGTTTACCATTGAGGAATATAAGACTTAATCATGTACAGGAGCATACAAGATGACTTAGTGAAATTGGTAGGAACTCACCACCCACTTTCTTGTTGATGGACAATGTGCTGCCTTTTTTACTATTAGTGATTTGGCCTTAGGCTTGATATAGCAGAAGTTCTAATGGATTTAGAAATAAATTTCCCTGAGCCTATTTTTCTTTGAAAATGAGATGAGATTTGTTGGTGGGAGAGGAAAATTGGAGAAATGATAGTTCTTTGAATATTAACATTTTAGCTACATTATCTTTCCAAACAATGGGAAAGTGGTATGATTTATACTTATTTATATTGTTGTCGACTTTTCTTGAAAGGGAGGAAAGTTTCAAAATTTGATCATTAGTTTGACAAATTGCTGTATTTTGATACGAGCAATACTATTATAAAAGCTTATTTGCTTTTCTTTACAGATAAGTAGCAGCAATTCTTTGTATGATTTATCCTTCATGTCATCCTTTCGCATGTGCTAACTTGGCTGTAGCGTAGTTTTGTGTATTCTTGTATCTTTTAGTCTAATTCATGCATTTAATTCTTCATTAGAATACTTTATATCTCCATTATAGTTTTACCTAGTACATGTATTTCATTTCTTGTTATTCTATTGAATGCAAGTTTTTCGTTTGACACTTGAAATTACTGAAGTTATTTCTTAGCACTAATCAACCAAGCCCAGGTGAGACAACGGCTTTAGTGCCTTGCTCACTACTTTTGGGCTCTATCACTTAGGATTTTGTATAAGGTAGTGCCTTGTGTTTAGTTGCGATGTATTGAGATGAGTGACCTAATTTTCTTAAAGAGCTCAGCATTAGCAATTTCAATGCAAAAGTTCTCATACTTTGTGATGAAAAAATAACATGGAGTGGTGGTAAAATTCTCAATTGTTGGAGGACTAAATATGATGCACACTAGAACAGTAAATTTTTAAGAAGAAAAGATGATAATAATAGATGGTAAGAGATAAAGTATTTCAAATCGGGTAATAGAGAAGGGAACATATCTGATGATTAAGATAAAACAAATTGTAGTGAAGAATAAATTGTCCGTAAGCTATATTATATGCTACTACTTTATTTAAACTTATGTTTTGGTTATAGTGTTTAAGATTATTATTTAGCAAATATTTTGGAACTTGGAATGAAAAAAAACTTAAAAAAAAATGTTTTGTCATCTAACACCTTGTAATGATGTTATTATCATTTTATATTTTGCAATAGAATTGTATAATCAAAATAGGTTTATTACGTGAAATAATTATTTTTTTGCTCGTGCCTCACTTAGGTGAGTGACTACTGTACCTTGCACCTCTAACATTAAGCGACCATATCATCCTGATCGCTCCAAGCTTTTGACAAAACTTCATTTTTTTAAAGTATTGGAACAAATTCCAAAAATAACCTAAGGGTACGCATCTATGAAAGAAAATTCATATTTCATTCTGCTGTGTTATAATGCTTATTCATTGAGTTGCTACAGATAGCTGGTTTTGGTTTGCAAACTTTTGCTCACAAGCTATTTCTCACTTTTTGATGGTTCCATGCTTCTAATTTGGTTGCTGTTTTTTTTTTTTTAAATGTTTGACTTAAATATAACTACTCTTTCAATTGTGGTTGCAAAGTTTGAAAAGATCTAGATAGCTTTTCAACTTGTTTTAGAAGAAATGTGAATAAATTTTTTTTGGTAAGTTCATGTTTTATGTACCCACTTCATTTTCTCCTGATAAGTTTCCTATGTTTTCCATCAGGACAATACATTTTACCTTTTCTTTGAGACAAAATCTGTCGCCACAATGCAAGGTGATATTGGGGTTGCAAGAAGCTTAGATCAAGGTGCTACATGGGAATTTCTCGGCATTGCTCTAGATGAAGCATGGCATCTCTCGTATCCATATGTTTTCAACTACCGTAACAATGTAAGTTGTAGGAGTGTATTCTACTTGCTATTTAAACGAGAATCACCTTTAAATAGATGTGTTTCATGTCTGGCACTTGTTAGTACTTTCTAATTGATATATTTGCTTTGCGATAATTTAAATTCTGATTTTTATTATGATATTTATTGTTTATTCCCAAGTAATGAAATATATACGCGGCCTTCGTGCATTTTAGTTTGTTCCATGAATGAATTTCTACTTGTACATTGGAATATTAGTTCATCTTTGTTTCCATTTGAAACTGTTTTCATATCAGCCCTCTTCGGTTGATTGTGCCTTGCTCTTTGTTGTTTCCCAACACTAATTCCATGAACATATACAATTTACGTTGCACTTATTATTAAATCTCAGTCGTCCCTTGGCACTTGATCCCACAGCCAGGATGGGGATCCCTGTGAGGCTTACCTGGATCACGCCGATCTTCTTTCATATTTGGATGGCTAATTTTGGAAGGATTATATTAGGACAATTATGCATGATTCTATAAATATTTGTTTCTTTATTAAGATATATTGTATATATCTATAAATAATGATAGTTTTGTGCAATAAAATTAAACTTTTTCTCTCTGAAATTCTTTGAATTTAACATGGTATCATAACTTTCATTGTCTACGAAATTCTGAAGTTCCTTTCTATTGCCATGCCTTCATTGTCGGCTTATCTTGAGAAACAAGAGAGAGATGAGAGGGAGATTGAGCGGAAGAACCCGCGCATGAGGCTCGTCCATGCGAGTTGATCGATTAGGAGCGGCTTGTAGGCGGAATAGCCTCGTGCGCATGCGGTTCATCCAGAAAAGGTGATCGGGTGGGAGCAGTCTGCAACAACCCTCATGCGTGCATCTCGTGTGTAGTCGGAAGGAGACGAGAGAGGAAGAAGTCATCCGGGCTTCAATCACATGCAGACATGAAGTTTCAACCAAGCCAAACAGGAGCGCCACTGATCCACTTGTGCATGTTACCCGGAGTGGAGGTGGATTGGGTCGGTCGTGGAAAACTGTTCGTGCTTCCGGACCTAACCAAATAGGACATGTTATAGTTCCTTATTTACTTAACAAGAATTGATCTTCATTGCCGTTGCAAGAATTTAGAGGGTCTAGTTCCAGTCTGCCTTCATTGCTACCCAGGATCTTGCAAATAGCCTTCATTGCTATCCTTTGACATTGCAATGTCTGAAGTTAATTCTTCCCAAAGCTTTAACCAAATAGAGGATTCTATGATGCATCAAGGAAAAGGAAATTTACAAAATATGCTACTTTTTATCGCTTAAATGAGCAGAATTACTTAAAGTGATCCTAATTTGTGAAGACCTACTTGAAAGGGAATGAAAAGATCAATCACCTCCTTGAAGTGGGACCAAAAGGTGATCCTAATTTTTGGGCATGGGATGAAGCAAACCCCATGATTATATCATGGTTATGGAATTCCATGACTCCAAAAATTAGTGATACTTTCATGGTCCTATCTACTGCAAAGGACATATGGGATGCCGCTAGGTAAACCTTCTAAAAAGCTTGGGATGCTGCCCAAATCTTTAAAATTAAGGTCAAGGTGGGAAGCACAAAACAAGGAAGCAAGATTGTAATGGAATATTTTACTCTCCTTTAAAACTTGTGGCAAGAACTTGATCATTACAAATGCATAGAAACCAAGTGTCTAGAAGATGCTGCTAACTTGAAAGATTTTATTGAGAAATATTGAGCGTATGTCTCTCTTGCAGGATTAAATGTGAAGTTTGATCAGGTTAGATTTCAGATCATTGGCGTAGAGGAGACACGCTCATTAAATGAGACCATTTCTCTCATTCATGCCGAGGAAAACAGATAAGGTGTAATGTTGGAGCCAAAGGTTGTTGAAGGTTCAACAATGATGACAATCAAAGAGGCGTCATGGAAAGAAAAAAGATAAGGATTCCTTAAAACATAATGACAAAGACATGAATGATTCCTTCTTTTTGAAAGTAGAAGGATAGAGTTTGGTCACCTTCTAGTTTCCACCCATGCAATTCTATTCCACCATAATGTATCCAAATCCCACTTGGGAAAAGCCCTTCTGATTGCCACAGATCTCATAAACCAACCAACTTTGAGAACCTAGTAATTAAAAATACCAATGGATATTCTATCCTATTTTTACTCTAAATTCCAAACCTATAACCACTTTATAACCAAAATCTTTTGGTGCGCTGCCTATGCTCACATTCACAGTCAAAATAGAAAAAAATTAGATTCAAGAGCACTAAAATGTATTTTTGTTGTATATTCATCCATCCAGAGAAGTTATAAATGTTATCACTCCTTCAAGAAACCATTGTATTTGTTGACGTTATTTTTAATGAAAAAAAATCCTATTTCACCGGGCCTCATCTTCAGGGGGGGGGGCTAAAATTGAAAAAGATAAGGAAAATGAGCTTGCCCCTCTTGATCTTTCAGCTCCACCTCAAAATAATCCACATAAACCTAAAATCAAAGCTAGGGAAACTGAAGAGAAATTTATTATGGATAATAAGAGGTTTGGAAAAGTATATTCTAAGCGTACACATTTAAACTATGCTCCATAACAGATACATGCATCTGAAACATCTCCTAAAATTTAGGTAGGCACAAGTTCATCCAGAAAACCCCCTCATGTACCATATAACCAACTTTGTTTCATTTTATAATTTCCAACCATCATATAAAAAATTATAGTTTAGGATATTCATATTCTTAAAAATATTTTTGAGTCCTTATCTGATAAAAAATTGAAAAGTATCATATAAGATGAAATGCAGGCACTAGAGAAGAACAATATATGGGAGATCATCGACCTACCAGTAGGAAAAAGGTTAGTCGGTTGCAAATGGGTGTTCTTTGTGAAATCCAAAGCTGATGGTACACTCGAAAGATATAAGACAAGATTGGTAGCGAAAGGGTACACTCAGACGTATGACATCGACTACCATAAAACTTTTGCACGTGTGGCCAAGATGAACACTGTGAGGATCCTGCTCTCACTAGTAGCTAATTATAATTGTCATTTTGAATAGCTGTATATCAAAAATGTCTTCCTACACGGCTATACGGGGACTTGGAGGAAGAAATATTTATGGAGATTCCACCTTGATACAAGAAAAAATTTGTGGGTGTCAAAGTGTGTAGGTTAAAAAAGGCTTTATATGGGCTAAATCAGTCATCTAGAGCTTAGTTTGGAAGATTATCAAAATTTATGCTACTTAATGGATATTAACAGAGTCTTGGGAACTATACATTATTCTTTAACCACTCAGACTTAGGAGGAGTCACAATTTTATTAGTTTATATGGATGATATCTTGATTTGAAATGATAAAAAAGAGAGTGATTTTAAGGAAATATCTTGCCAAAAAAATTGAGATCAAAGAACTTGGTAGATTAAAATATTTCATTGGAATTGAAATAGTATCCCACTCCAATAGAGGAATCTTCATTTCACAACAGAAATATGTTAATGATCTTCTAAAAGAAATAGGTAAACTAGCTTGTAAAATAGCACAAACACCAGTAGAACCTAATCTTAAATTGAAGGAAACTAAAGATGATCCAGACATAAATAATGGAGCTTACCAGAGAGTTGTGTGAAAATTGATCTGCCTTTCTCACACAGACCAGATATAGCCTTTGTTGTAAGCATGGTCAGCCAATTCATGCAAAATTCAAAGCAAACTCAAATGCAAGCTGTAGACAGAATGCTGCACTACCTTAAAGGGAATCCAAGTAAAGGGATTCTCTTTAGAATAGATTGTGGAATAACCCAATAAGCATATATTGATGCATATTAAACAGGATCACCAATTGATAGATGATCTACCTCAGGATGTTATACATTCCTTGGAGGAAATCTTATTATAAGGAGGAGCAAGAAATAGAATGTCGTGGCAAGGTTTAGTGCAGAAGCAGAGTTCAGAGCTATGGCCTTGGAAATATGTGGGCTATTATGGATCAAGATGATTCTAGAAGACCTATGGATCAAGTGGGAAGGACCTATAAAGCTACACTGTGACAAGAAATCTACAATTAACATTGCTCGTAATCCGGTTTTGCCTGATAGGACCAAGCATATAGAAGTCAACAGACATTTCATAAAAGAAAAATTAGATAGTGTTCTTATATGTATCTATCATGTCTTATTAAAAAACACAGCTTGCAAATATGCTTACCAAGGGACTTGATAACTCTATTTTTTTGTGAATGATTGCCAGACCAAGAATGACAGATCTTTATTCCCCATCTTGAGGGGGGGGGGGTGTTAGATATTAGCCATCCCTTGGTACTTGATCCCATGGCCAAGAAGGGGATCCGTGGGAGGCTCATCTTGATCACGTCGATCTTCTTCCATATTTGGTTGGCTGATTTAGGAAGGATTATATTAGGGCAATTGTGCATGATTTTGTAGTAATTTGTTTCTTTATTAAGATATCTTGTATAGATATATAAATAGGGATAGTTTTGTGCAATAAAATTAAGCTTTTCCTCTCTCCAATTGTTTGAATTTAACACTTTATTATTAATAATGCTTGTGCATACAATAATCAATTTGGTTTAATGTTATAAGGAACAATACGACTAATGAAAAAGTATTAATAGATAGAAATAATATTCATATGGTTTGTGTTTAGTTTGAGAAAGCTCATAATTTAAAGTCATGAGATTTTATTTGGTATTTATTAAGAAAAAAAGTATATTCTGATGGGATGTTAAAATTGTGAAAGATGGTATACTAGAAAATTATCTAGTTTTAAAATTAGTTTTGGATTGACCAAGGAGTTTCTAATTTTTGTAGGATCTATATTAAGTCAATATCTTTTTGTATTGATAATGAAGATGTGTATAAAAGATTTTCAAAGTACTATGCATTGATTTATGCTTTTTGTACTCGATATTTTTAATAGGCGATGTGTCTATTGAAATAAGTAGAAAGTTAGAATAATTAAGAAAATATTTTGATGGTAAATAGCTTATAGG